GGAAATTCCTGCGATGAAGAATGTGGGACTCTTCTGATTTGATGTGAATGCTTCTAGAATTGACACCAAATGAACACAAGTCAAATTATATTCGCTGTAAATGCATTAGTAGTGGTTGTAGTGGGTATTTTTTGTAGTGAATGAATCGTCACTTCTGATGCAGTGTGTTAACTCAAAATGCAAAAGTCGCCTATGTGCGATCAGCCAATCACTGCAGAGATCTCGGTCGTTGGGGAAAAAAAAAATGCTCCCCTTTTGCAACTTCCCCCCTCTCTCACTGTATTGTGCATCAGCCTTTAAAATGCATAGATGTTCTGCATATTAATATATACAGTGCAGGTGTGGAGGATGTCCGATGCATGAACCATGGTGTCTACTCGAGGGGATTCATATTTACATAAAGTCATTCATCTTCAGCCTTCTTGTAGCATGCACCACTTTTTATGAATGTACTAAGTGTGATTGTTCTTGTTTCCACAGGAAAGCAGCAAATCTGAGCCGGAAGCACCGTGCCTGGCCATCAAACCCACCGGCAAAGACTTCTACAAGGTGCTGGGAGTCTCCCCGGACTCCAACGAGGACGAGATCAAGAAGGCCTACAGGAAGATGGCTCTGAAGTACCATCCCGATAAGAACAGCGATGCAGACGCAGAGGACAAGTTCAAAGAGATCGCTGAAGCCTACGAGATCCTGAACGACCCCAAGAGGAGAAGCATCTACGACCAGTTTGGAGAAGAAGGTGAGAATTCATTAGAGTTAGAGAGCTTAAATAGTGACATGTGGTTATTACTGCAGCACAGGCTGGAGCATTACATATTCACTAAGTACTGGGGAGCAGAGCGAGGATCATGACTGAGAAACTTCCTTTTGAAACCGGCTTAGCGTCAGCTGTGGGGCTCATAAATGATTCAGCAGTGAGAGTTTTTCCTGCCGAATTTGCATGAAAGTAGACGGGAAGGAAGAACCCTCAATCTGCAGGTTTAACCTCTTAGTGACTGATTGGGAGTTTAGTCGCCACAAGCTAAATGAAAAGAGGAAACATTGGCAGGGAAGAATATTGGGTTAAGGGTTAAACATCTGTACGTACTTCATTCTGCATGTATATTTAAAGTGTTCCTATAATATGAAGCATGTTCAGCGTAACCCAATCAGATTTTAATGAACCTTTTTTGTTTTTCCAGGTCTTAAAAGTGGATTCTCGTCAAGGGAAGGGAAAGTTTTCCGCAACACCTGCCACACCGACCCCCACGCCACCTTCTCCACCTCCTTCCACGGCTCCGACCACTTCGACATCTTCGGCAACGAGGCGGACGAAGACGACCTCTTTAACCCCTTCAGAAGCTTCCCCTTCAGCCACGTTGGCGGCGAGGGCGGTCTGCGGAGAGGTCAGAGACGACTGCAGGGCGACGAGGTGGTGCACGACCTTCTGGTGACCTTAGAGGACGTGATGCAGGGCTGCACAAAACACGTGAAGATCACCCGAAGCCGCCTGAACCCTGACGGCCGCAGCCTGAGATCTGAGGAGAAGGTGCTGAACGTGGTGGTGAAGAAAGGCTGGAAGAAAGGGACCAAGATCACTTTCCCCAGGGAGGGAGACGAGACCCCCAACAACACCCCCGCGGACATCACCTTCATCCTCAGGGACAAAGAGCACCAGCAGTACAAGAGGGACGGCTCCAACATCGTGTTCACCGCCAAGATCACGCTCAAAGAGGTGAGTTACTGTCATCATGTCAGGCTGGAAGACTCAAAGGCTTTACTGTCAGATATCTTCATTGAGGAGGGTCATGCATACAAATACATTCATCTCAAAAAGAGTAGACGCTATAATTTATAATAATAATTCATTCTATTTAGAGGCACGCTAGGGCACCTTGCAATTCATAAAGTATTCTAAGGAAAGTTTTAAGACAGGGAACATGTAGGGAAGCCATCTGCAGTCCCTGGACTCACATACCAACCAACACACATTAAAACGTGTCTTAGTGCCTATCACACTAACATATAAAACAGATCTTAAGTCCCCAACAATGCAACATAAAGATAACACGTTTAAAAAAACAAGAAGACGAACCAAGGAAGAAGATATAAACTGGGTTTCTGATTCTCATTGTTATATATAAGTCTATACATCTACTACTATATATATATATAAGTAGATCTGGTATGTAACTGCCAGCAGCTTACACCCACTCAGATACAGGCTCACCTCCACCCACCACTTCCTATGTGTTTGCGTAACAGAAGCCAGAGAAAAACGATGACAGAAAGGCTTCAAAAAGACATCGAACCGGAAGGAGGATCCGAGCCAAAATGAGGGATAGATTGGTGATATTCTCAGGAGGGGACACAGTGTTCTGCTGCAGGGATCTGAGCCACAATATGGCTGCAGCAGCAGAATCCTGCCCACGCTAGTTACCTCACCGGCCCCTGCAGAGCGAGAGAAATCAGGATCTAAATTTAGCCTCAGCGCCGACCGCCCCCACCAATCACAGCTCTCTCTCAGCTACTATCTGAGCTGCAGACTCCTCCACCAGAGCGGCTGTTCGGGCTCGCTCACCTCTCACTTCTAGTAAACCCACGCACAGATTAGCAAGCCTCGCAGCCACAGAGAATGGCATTTCAAAGAGCGCCCTCCATCTCACTTCACTCCCACACAGGAGCTGCAAAATAGACCGGCGATTATAACATCTGTAACACCGTTTGTTTGTTGTTGTTGCATAACGGCAGAGAGAGATTTTCTTGGAAACTCCTGCAGAATTTGCAAGATTGAACAAGATGTCTTAAAGTATTGATGTTGCATTGTTGGAGGAGCCTTCAGATTCTCATTAAGACACAATAAAGCCTTTGAGTCTTTGAACAGTTTTAGACCAGACCATCTTATTTATCCATTATGTAACTTCATAAAGCTTGTTCTTAATATATGTTCTCCTCCTCTTCCTCCTCCTCAGGCTCTCTGCGGCTGCACGGTAAACGTCCCGACTCTGGACAGCCGGATGATGCCACTCCCCTGCAGCGATGTGATCAAACCAGGAGCTGTGCGGCGGCTCCGAGGCGAGGGGCTTCCTCTGCCCAAAAGCCCCTCCCAGAGAGGCGACCTGGTGGTGGAGTTCCAGGTGATTTTCCCCGACAGAATCCCACCTCAATCCCGGGAGATCATCAAACACAGCCTGGCTCAGTGCTAGCTCTCAGTTAGCTTCACCCAGTGTGTTGTTCTCCATTCACAAGCCTTTGCTCAAGCTGCTGATATCCACTTGGAGGAAAATGGCAAGTGGCGCTTTAGCGAAGCTCAGAGGAGACGACTTTCTGCAGGGACACGCACAACAACATGCCGAGCAGAGAGAGAATGAGGAATGGGGTCTTTGGTATCTGAGGGCGTCCATTGACTCTGCAGCCAAAGGTTATCTGTACTGTTGTGCCTACAGCAGGATACCAGTGTGCTATTCAAGTCTGTATAGACTTCCTTAAGAGCTGAAACAGAACTAACTGTAGTTATATGGTGCTCATATGACGGATCTTTTGCATTGATTTATTACAATAGCATAATATATACTTGTGTACAAGGATCTACTTTGTGTACAAAATGCAAAAAAGTTGTCTCTAACAGAGATTCATATGTCAAATGTTCTATTGAATGATTTGAAATGTTTGTATATAATCTGAAAGGATGTATTATTATTATTACCTGATGGACATGTTTGAAAAGCATGAAAAATAAAGGGGAAAAAATACTTCTGTTTTCTGTTTCTTTGTGATAAACATGCGGTGCATAAGTGGACTACACGAGTCCACATGAGCACACATTATGAAACAATAGGAACAAACATACACACACTTTAAAGTTATGTCGTGCAGTGGGCAACAGGTGCAAACCAGCTACAACAGCTAAACTCACTGCCGCTTCAGAAAGGATGCATATGAAGACACACCTCCATCTTCTTGTGTCCTCCATGGGGTGTTGAGATGTACCTTAGTTTGGAGGTTCAGGATCAAGGGTTGCCAAACATCACGCGGATCGGATCAGTGATATTTGGAAGCCAGGAGTTTTTCTTCATATAAAAAACCCACACTTTGGTGAACATCTGCAAGGAAGACAATATGTTCATCTTGAAGAATTAAGGATAAATAACACTCAGTCAAACTATAGGACGATCGAACTAAAGAGTAAAACCTCCTCTCTCTCCCCAAAGTGAAAAGGTGTGCAGGTTTTTAAAGGGCAGGTATCATGTGCTAACAATGACCAATCAGTGATGAGGAAAGGATTAAAGGTAGTGGAATGTGTTTCACAGTAAGCTTGATATTATAAAGATTCAATATTTATATGTTAATATTTCACATGATAACTTTGTGTCTGTCCAACAAATCAAGGTTAAGGTTACATTTGACTTTATCAATTTTTTTAATTGCAATGCTATTGTTGTTCTGTATTTTTTTTGCGTAACTATAATTATGCAGAGAGAATCTGGAATTATTTGTGTTGGTATTTTTGGTCTTTGTTCCTCATGTTGTAGTGCTTTTGTTTCTCATAGTCGTTGTGAGTCATTTTATGTCCCTCTGCAGCATTTTGAGTCTTTTCTTGGTTCAGTGACATTTTCCAAATATATAAACCCCTTTGGTAATGCATCCATGAGGAGATGAACATAATCCCTGTGCTCTACTCTAGTGCTGCAGGAGTCTGACTCTCTGCTGCCACCTAGCTGTGATTCCCTGCCTCACCAAACACCCTGCACATGATAGGACACACCTGTGGATCTGTAATTCATGTGGCTGCTAACTGAGTGCGAGTTGCATAGTGTCAGATCAAGCTTTACGAGTGAACTAAGATGAAGACAAGCAGGGTGAAAGACCACAGCCCCATTCGGAGACTGTATGCGTGTGAGAAGCAGCTTTGCAAGATGTTATCAGATCCACAACACTCTGAACACACAGTAGTCCACATTGATTGACACACCTGTGCTCAGATGCGACGTGACACATCAATTGAGATCAGCAATGTTAGCATGTCTCAGATAATCCAGAGCCCCTCACCAAATCTGGAGCCAGGTTTCCCCGTGACTAACCTGACCCTGGTGGTGCTTCTGCTGATCCCCTGCGTGGTGGTTCTGCTGCTGCTCAACTGCCTGTTTCTGGGCTACAAGTTCCTGATCCTGTCCCAGAAGAAGGGGGACGGGGAGGAGATGCTGCTGGATTCCTGCTCCCTGCAGGGACCCACGAGGCTCTCTGGGGGGGGTTTCCCCGCTTTACAGGACGTTAGAAGAGCTTATTTGTCTCTATCCGAGCCCATTTTACAACACCCGGTCACCTCATCCCGGGCTTCGTCCAGGGAAAGGGTCGGTGGTGGGGTGGAGCACCGGATCCTGCTCCTGAGGCCAGATGGGGCCACAGGGTCTCTGAGGGCTCCGAGCCCTATCCGGGCCCCCTCCTCTGCGGCGGAGTTCAGCCCGAGAATGCACCTCCACCCCCGGTCACAAAGCACCGGGACTCAGCTGTGGGGTAAAAGCGCTCCGGTGTTACCGCAGTCCAGCGACTCTGAGGCCGAGACCAGAGTGAACCTGGTGCCGCCGAACTCTCCCACGGTGAGTCCTGAGGCAAAAGTACACACATCCTTTACTCAAGTAGAAGTACAGATACTCGTGTTTAAAAATACTCTGGTAAAAGTAGAAGTACTGACTAAACTTCTTTACTCAAGTCAAAGTAAAGAGGCTTTGAAGTGTACTTCAGTAAAAAGTACCCATAACTAGCAGCTGTTTTAAAGAGTACCTGACCTCCCTTTATATTAATAGAACAATAATGTCATTGTTAGCTAATGGATGTTTCCATGCTGAACAACGGCAACATGACAACGTTTCCATTGGTCCCTCTTCTTTAGAGAAGACCAGGAAATGATGGATACACGGATCGTGTTCAAATCAATAGGCACGCAATGACTCTAAAGAATAATGATCACGCATCAAACACACATTCAGACTAAAGGAACCAGCTGTTTGGGAAATGAGAGAAGTAGAAAGTACAGGTATTTGAGTTCAACATGTAAGAAGTAGAAAGTACAGGTATTTGAGTTCAACATGTAAGAAGTAGAAAGTACAGGTATTTGAGTTCAACATGTAAGAAGTAGAAAGTACAGGTATTTGAGTTCAACATGTAAGAAGTAGAAAGTACAGGTATTTGAGTTCAACATGTAAGAAGTAGAAAGTACAGGTATTTGAGTTCAACATGTAAGAAGTAGAAAGTACAGGTATTTGAGTTCAACATGTAAGAAGTAGAAAGTACAGGTATTTGTGTTCAACATGTAAGAAGTAGAAAGTACAGGTATTTGTGTTCAACATGTAAGAAGTAGAAAGTACAGGTATTTGAGTTCAACATGTAAGAAGTAGAAAGTACAGGTATTTGTGTTCAACATGTAAGAAGTAGAAAGTACAGGTATTTGAGTTCAACATGTAAGAAGTAGAAAGTACAGGTATTTGAGTTCAACATGTAAGAAGTAGAAAGTACAGGTATTTGAGTTCAACATGTAAGAAGTAGAAAGTACAGGTATTTGTGTTCAACATGTGAGAAGTAGAAAGTACAGGTATTTGTGTTCAACATGTAAGAAGTAGAAAGTACAGGTATTTGTGTTCAACATGTAAGAAGTAGAAAGTACAGGTATTTGGGTTCAACATGTAAGAAGTAGAAAGTACAGGTATTTGAGTTCAACATGTGAGAAGTAGAAAGTACAGGTATTTGTGTTCAACATGTGAGAAGTAGAAAGTACAGGTATTTGAGTTCAACATGTAAGAAGTAGAAAGTACAGGTATTTGTGTTCAACATGTGAGAAGTAGAAAGTACAGGTATTTGAGTTCAACATGTAAGAAGTAGAAAGTACAGGTATTTGTGTTCAACATGTAAGAAGTCAAAGTAAAAAGTCGTCAGAAAAATAAGTAGTGGAGTAAAGTACTGATATCAGAAAAATGTACTTAAGTACAGACACAGTAACAAAGTATTTGTACTCCACTGCTTCTGTTCCCACCTCTGTCCTGAGGGAAGGGACACTGTAAAGTAGTATGGAGTATTGCAGGTTGAATGATTTAGAGGATATGCATCAAACACTTCTGAAACATGTGATGCTACTCTTTCCATTAGCACGCATCTAAACAAAGTGGGAAATGCATGACAACAAAACACAACAGAGACAAGTCACCATATTAAATAAAGCTGCACTGATAATGAATATAACGTTTTCAGAGGGGAAGAAACAAAAACGGAACAAAACATACAATTTAAAAAAACATGATAATAAATATAAAATTGTGTGAAAAAAGGCAACAAAATAAAAGTTAGAAATCCAATATCAAAATTGCTTTCAAAGGATTTGCTTTAGTTCTGCTATTTTTTTTATTTGCTATATTTCAAATCAAAGTATCATTAAATAATCAGAAACCAATTCCCACAGTGATGTTGTGACTTCTTGAAGTGTTTCAATGTGAATGCTCTGATCCATGCCTTCATAACATCCCGACTGGATTACTGCAACAGCATACTTTTTGGATCACCTGCATTCGTACTAAAAAAACGTCCAAAACTCAGCGGCCCGCTTGCTCACCTCCACCCGACGCTCCGACCACATCACCCCTATCCTCCATGACCTCCACCCGACGCTCCGACCACATCACCCCTTTCCTCCATGACCTCCACCCGACGCTCCGACCACATCACCCCTATCCTCCATGACCTCCACCCGACGCTCCGACCACATCACCCCTATCCTCCATGACCTCCACCCGACGCTCCGACCACATCACCCCTATCCTCCATGACCTCCACCCGACGCTCCGACCACATCACCCCTATCCTCCATGACCTCCACCCGATGCTCCGACCACATCACCCCTATCCTCCATGACCTCCACCCGACGCTCCGACCACATCACCCCTATCCTCCATGACATCCACCCGACGCTCCGACCACATCACCCCTATCCTCCATGACATCCACCCGACGCTCCGACCACATCACCCCTATCCTCCATGACCTCCACTGGCTCCCCATCAAACACCGCATTGACTTTAAAATATTACTTTTCACTTTCAAAGCCCTCAACAACCTTGCCCCCCCCCCCCTACCTCTGTGACCTCATCCAACGACACACCCCCACCCGTCGCCCCAGGTCTGCTGACGCTAACCTACTGTCTGCAGCCCATCAGGACAAAGCTCCGGACCTGGGGTGACGGGGCCTTCGCAGCAGCCCCCCCGTCACTCTGGAACCCCCTCCCCAGCCACGTCAGATCCGCCAACACTCTCACTTCATTCAAACAATCCCTCAAAACTCACCTTTTCACTCTTGCCTTCAACTCCTAATCCACTAACCCCTCGCCCTTATTCCATTATTTTGTTTTACTTGCTTGTAAGCGCTTTGAGCACCAGGAAAAGCGCTTTATAAATGTAATGTATTATTATTATTATTATTATTAATACCCTGCTTATTTGGTTTATTCCAAGCTAAATGGAAGAGTAACAACCTGCATCCTTTACAGCAGGAAATGTAAATGCTTAAATCAATTATTTGTCATCTGCGTTAAAAGTTAGTGAGCAAGAAATCTGTAAAGAAGTGTCGGATTATTCTTCAACAGAAATGGATGTCTGTCTACCCAAAATGTGACCTCCAGTTGAAAGTAAAACGTTGTCCCTTTCGCCTCATCTACTTGTCTTTCATCCTTTCTTTATAACTAATGCTGTTGATGTGTTGTGATTTTAAAAAGGTGTCTATTATCATCTGGACAACAGCTGGAAATTAGCAATGTTGGCTAAAGCTGCTCCATTTACAGTTCGTTGTGACAGTCGATCAATAGGGACTGTCCACGACACTATGGTGAGATCTGTCCTTTGTTTTCCCAGCAGGAGGTCCAACATGAGGGTCACCTGCGTCGCAGCAGCACTCACCAGATGCTGAGGGACCTGAGTCCAGGTGTAGCCGTGCTGGTGTTTGATAAGGCGGAGATGGAGTGTGAGTTCAGTAACGCTCCGTCAGAGGAGTCCGGTCTGAACTCGTCTGCAGTCGGACCGGGACTGGACAGCGACTTCGGAGCCAGTGCAGGTACAGATCTGTCTACTTCATTAAGATATTAAAGGTCCCCTATCATACTGTTTCTCATCGATATAGTATAGGTCTCAGATATATCCAGAGCCTGTCTCTGAGTGGCTGAAACACCAAACGGATCATTGCAGCATTACCCATAATCCCCTCTGTTTCAGCCCTGTTTCCAAAGTGCTGATTCTCTGTCTGTTGCTTTAGATGAAAATAAGGAGCCCCTCCCCACGCCCCTCTGAGAGACATTTGGTTACAAAGAACTCAATGGTGCTCTAGGAGGAGATTCAGGTGATAAGGGGGGGGGGGGTACCTTGGTTGCTGATTGGCTAATGGTTACACAAGACAACACATCGTTATGACATCATAAAGTGGCCAAAATCTGATCAGCTCATTTTCAGACAGGTTTTTATAGAAATGGATCAAAAAGAGAGAAAATCTTTGTTCCTGAAACTTTCAGAGTCTCTTTCCACAGAGGGGACACATGTTGATGTAGAAGAGACATGAAGAAGAGGGGACACATGTTGATGTAGAAGAGACATGAAGAAGAGGGGACACATGTTGATGTAGAAGAGACATGAAGAAGAGGGGACACATGTTGATGTAGAAGAGACATGAAGAAGAGGGGACACATGTTGATGAAGACATGAAGAAGAGGGGACACATGTTGATGTAGAAGAGACATGAAGAAGAGGGGACACATGTTGATGTAGAAGAGACGTGAAGAAGAGGGGACACATGTTGATGTAGAAGAGACATGAAGAAGAGGGGACACATGTTGATGTAGAAGAGACATGAAGAAGAGGGGACACATGTTGATGTAGAAGAGACATGACGAAGAGGGGACACATGTTGATGTAGAAGAGACATGAAGAAGAGGGGACACATGTTGATGTAGAAGAGACATGAAGAAGAGGGGACACATGTTGATGTAGAAGAGACATGAAGAAGAGGGGACACATGTTGATGTAGAAGAGACATGAAGAAGAGGGGACACATGTTGATGTAGAAGAGACATGAAGAAGAGGGGACACATGTTGATGTAGAAGAGACATGAAGAAGAGGGGACACATGTTGATGTAGAAGAGACATGAAGAAGAGGGGACACATGTTGATGTAGAAGAGACATGGAGAAGAGGGGACACATGATGTAGAAGAGACATGAAGTAGAGGGGACACATGTTGATGTAGAAGAGACATGAAGAAGAGGGGACACATGTTGATGTAGAAGAGACATGGAGAAGAGGGGACACATGATGTAGAAGAGACATGAAGAAGAGGGGACACATGTTGATGTAGAAGAGACATGAAGAAGAGGGGACACATGTTGATGTAGAAGAGACATGAAGAAGAGGCTCGTAACACTACCTGTTATTGAGGAAGAGGATTTTGCATAATAGGTGACCTTTAAACAAAGTAAAGTAGTGATCTAAGTACCCGTTCCTCCCCAGGAGTGTCCTTGAGGATCCTGTCTGCTGACAGCGACGGCCTCTCTAACGGCTTCCTGTCCTCGGCTCTGGAGTGGGATTACTACGACCCGTGCTACGTAAAACAGAACAACGTGCACAAACACAAGCACCACCGCCCCGCCGTGCACTCCAAACAGTACTGGGTGTAACTCCTTTTTAATGTTATTTATTTCTTTATTTATTGTATTATTTAACCTATACATGTTTTAGTCTTAAGTTTGTGTCACTAAGGATTTAATCGGCACAATGTGTAAATAAGAAAGCACTCTGACACTGAGTTTGTAACCATGCACTTCTTCACCCGTGTTATTATGAAATATTTAATATGCACTTATTCACTTGTGTTAGTCTAAATTAGGTCTCTTCTGTGATGTTAAAAGGGCTGTTCACATAGTTCTGGATTCCATTCACAAAAGGTTTTGTATTCACTGTTATGATTTACATGTTTTGCGTCACTCTGAGTAATAAAGACTAATTTAGGATTAAGTGCTTGTTGATTATCTTTCCATTGAAATCACTTAAAGGTCCCGTGTCACGGCCATTTCTACTGATCATAACTCCATTGTTGAGGTCTACTAGAACAGATTTAGACTGTTCAATGTTCCAAACTCACATTGGTTTCTCAAAGCATCTCTGTATAGTCTGTGTATTCACTCTCTGTCCTAAACGGCTTGTTGGAGCTCCTGCCCCCCCCCCTGTGAGCCCAGTGACCGTCTGCGAGACAGCGAGACCCAGCCCGAAACACACACACCCGCAGCCTGGCTGGGAGTTTGTGTGTGTGCCCAGGCTGAGTTCCGCGGAGTCTCGCTGTCTCGCCGACCCCACACCACAGAGCCAGCTCACAGTGTCCCGCTCCTCGCAGTGTGTATGTGTGTCCGTGTCCGGATTGGTCCAAATGTAACGGCTCCGCAGATTGGCCGTCACTATACCCGAAATACGTCACTATACCCAAGAAGTAAACAATGGAAAAAGAGAAATGTCCAACGAGGCGTTCTGGGGCAGCACAGACAGGTCTTCTCTGTGTTAGAGTTTTACTCGCTACAGGGTGCACTTTGAGGGTTTGAGACTCTGCAGACCGTTTACATGCAGAAAACAACAAGGGGACGGGTAATAACCGGAAAAGCATGACATGGGACCTTTAAACACAAATCAAAGCATGGGGTTCAAGCAATATTACAATTATAAACCTTTGGTTCAGTTTAAAAAAACACTAATATTTCCGTAAATTATTGCATATTTTTCCATTTTATTGAGTTTAGATCCTTCGGTCCAGATCAGAAATACCCAATATTTGTTCATTTCTAAATATCAATTTTCACAGTCTGGGTTGTGTCCCAGATTCAAAACATTGATTTTCATCATTTTAGTTTGTTTGTGTGCAGGAAATGGTATATGTAAACGGTCTCAATCTGGTAGAAGAAAAATAATAATAATGTTAAAGCCGGGGCTCTAGATTGAAAGCCTGATATAATAGAAAGCATTATTTCAGATTGTAATTACTGTGGGGTCAAACATTTGTGAATATATTGGCTAAAAATGTATAAGACTTATAATAAAGCAGAATGAAATCCAAAATGATGGAAATGTAAAAAAATGAACATCTGATTTCAAGACATTAAAGTTCTACTCCACACCAGCAGGGGGCGCTGTAGTTTCAGTGTTTGGTAGGTTTTGTCCTTCGCATTACATAACATCTATTTGTACCATAGCTGTTCCTCTGGAGTCGGCGCCAGTGCGCATATTTTACGTATTTAAATAATATGTTTTTGATTATGAGTAGAAATATGATTGCACAGATAACCTCCGAAATCGCTGGAACTGTAGCTTTCCAGCGCGACCTCTCGCGAGACTTTGCCCGACTCACGCTTGACTTTTCGTTACGCTGTGTTTTTTTTTTAGCATTTGTGTGTCCGTCAAGGAAATCTCGTCACTAAGGACCCGCCCACCCAGAGAGAAAACAGCTACAAATGTTTTGAAGATGTCAAATGTTCCGCTTTTTATCTAATTATCTCATCACACAGTGCTCTATCATGAACTACTTGCATTTCTAGCAAGACCAGAGATTGTCCTGAACATTTTTGATATGTGGCACGTTTTAACAATTACATTCAAAAGGTGATATCTAAGAATCCAGAAATTACCCTTCAGACTCCAGCGGGTTAAAATGCATGGTACAGATAGGCATGATGATACTCAGCTTTTCCTGTAGAAATGTGGCACATTAAGAGACATCCTGATTTAATGATTGGTCGTCGTATACAATTTGGAGAAGAAGCAACCAGAAGGCCTGTCGTTAAACAATAATTTGATTTGTTGATCATTGTTAGCCACACTGGAGCTTTAAAGAGTGTTGTGATATTAAAGTAACTACGAAAACGGGCTACAAGAAAACCCAGAGTCAGTTCCTTATCAAATGAGTTGAATGCTTGTTGTAAGATTTGATGCCTTAATTGCCACCATTATAATAATGACTCTTCCCTCAAAGTAGCAGTTTAATGATTCTCCACAAAGCGTCTGATCTGTGGGAAGTGTAAACAGATTTCAGTCCATTATGTAAATCCTCGTTAAGCCCCATCGTCCTCTCTCGTTAAAAGCACTTCCATTTGTTCTGGACAAAAAGATAGAATACATTACCAGCTCTCAGCCGTGCAATTACTCTCAAACTGTTCCCAATACGTTGTGAAGATGTCAAGAATGATTTCATAGATACATTATTTTAAATCATGGCAAACTAGTTCCCTTTTATATAGGTTTTAGTGCATGTAAATGGTCTGTAAAGGCTCAATTCACAAAGTCCCAAACGACAAATATGAACCTGAAAATGTGGATTATAGGACCGCTTTAAATCATATAGGATGTGTATATAAAGCAGGATGTTAAGAATAGTTTGAAGGCATTGCTGTGCGCTATATTTGAATTTGTACGGATATTTTAACCGTTATATGTTTAGTAACAACCAGGGTGTATGCAGGAATCCTGAAGTCAAATTAAATCCCTTTTAAGACCCTTCCCATACATTTTAAGACCTCATCGCCACTTGGAGTTTTAACCGGTTACCTTGGCGACACACTTTACCTCACATTCACTATATACAGTATTGATTCATCTTCCAACCATTTGGACGCAGACTTGCATTTTCCCATAACGATGTTGCTTAGCAACCGGCGTAAACGGACACCCTGTAGTAACAGCAAACTGAGGTGTGAGACTTCCTAACAGCTTCTTCATCAAGACAAACAGAAAGAGCTCAAAGTCACAAAAAGAGGTGATGGAGTCGAATAGTTGGAATACTTTATTCTGCTTTAAGAGATATCTGTACATTAAAGATGAAGCGTCACTTATCTTCTTTTGTTGAAGTTCATAGAAAGTATAACAGACGTTGCACTAAGTGAACATGAAAACAACCTTTACTCGAAGCTGGAGAGGAAGCTCAACACAACTTGCTTGAGTTTAGCATCGGACGCGTCTGAGATTTGACCGTCAACCCTGCAATGAAGAAGAGTAGCGTTAGAAAATGCATACAGAACTATAATTAGAACCAGAGGTGGGAAGGAGTGGAGTACAAATACTTCGTTACTGTACTTAAGTACATTTTTCTGGTATCAGTACTTTACTCCACTACTTATTTTACTTTTACTTCTTACATGTTGAACACAAATACCTGTACTTTCTACTTCTTACATGTTGAACACAAATACCTGTACTTTCTACTTCTTACATGTTGAACACAAATACCTGTACTTTCTACTTCTTACATGTTGAACACAAATACCTGTACTTTCTACTTCTTACATGTTGAACACAAATACCTGTACTTTCTACTTCTTACATGTTGAACTCAAATACCTGTACTTTCTACTTCTTACATGTTGAACTCAAATACCTGTACTTTCTACTTCTTACATGTTGAACCCAAATACCTGTACTTTCTACTTCTTACATGTTGAACACAAATACCTGTACTTTCTACTTCTTACATGTTGAACACAAATACCTGTACTTTCTACTTCTTACATGTTGAACTCAAATACCTGTACTTTCTACTTCTTACATGTTGAACTCAAATACCTGTACTTTCTACTTCTTACATGTTGAACCCAAATACCTGTACTTTCTACTTCTTACATGTTGAACTCAAATACCTGTACTTTCTACTTCTTACATGTTGAACTCAAATACCTGTACTTTCTACTTCTTACATGTTGAACACAAATATCTGTACTTTCTACTTCTTACATGTTGAACACAAATATCTGTACTTTCTACTTCCTACATGTTGAACTCAAATACCTGTACTTTCTACTTCTCACATGTTGAACTCAAATACCTGTACTTTCTACTTCTTACATGTTGAACACAAATATCTGTACTTTCTACTTCTCACATGTTGAACTCAAATACCTGTACTTTCTACTTCTTACATGTTGAACACAAATATCTGTACTTTCTACTTCTCACATGTTGAACTCAAATACCTGTACTTTCTACTTCTTACATGTTGAACACAAATACCTGTACTTTCTACTTCTTACATGTTGAACACAAATACCTGTACTTTCTACTTCTTACATGTTGAACTCAAATACCTGTACTTTCTACTTCTTACATGTTGAACTCAAATACCTGTACTTTCTACTTCTTACATGTTGAACTCAAATACCTGTACTTTCTACTTCTTACATGTTGAACACAAATATCTGTACTTTCTACTTCTCACATGTTGAACTCAAATACCTGTACTTTCTACTTCTTACATGTTGAACACAAATACCTGTACTTTCTACTTCTTACATGTTGAACTCAAATACCTGTACTTTCTACTTCTTACATGTTGAACACAAATGCCTGTACTTTCTACTTCTTACATGTTGAACACAAATATCTGTACTTTCTACTTCTCACATGTTGAACACAAATACCTGTACTTTCTACTTCTTACATGTTGAACACAAATACCTGTACTTTCTACTTCTCACATGTTGAACTCAAATGCCTGTACTTTCTACTTCTTACATGTTGAACACAAATGCCTGTACTTTCTACTTCTTACATGTTGAACACAAATATCTGTACTTTCTACTTCTCACATGTTGAACACAAATACCTGTACTTTCTACTTCTTACATGTTGAACACAAATATCTGTACTT